AGATCTGAATTTAATTTTTGGATATGATATTAAGAATCTTGACTAAGAAAGTATGATAAAAACAAAAAGTTTGTTATTTTTTTAAATGAATGTTCTGAATTGATATATATTGTACATCAATATCACTACAAATATGCAACAGAACTTTGTTTATCCGAATTTCTCATGGGACAAGACAGTTCTGTCAAGTAGTTTAGATATTCTCTAATTTTCTCTAATTTTCTCTAATTTTCTCTAAAGTAGAAATTCACTTATTATCCAGTATTGATTAGTTTCGATAATAGGAACTAATAGTAGGAACAAATGTTTAGAAAACTGGAACTTACATAAAATGTTCATATAAAACAAATAAATGGAGTTTATTTTCTATTGTAGTTTGTTTTATTGTACCATGACTATAATTATTATCTGAACTACAATATCTGAACTACAATGTCTGACACAAGTATAATATGTAATTGTAAGGCAATAGATTAAAATGTTCTCTACAGCAAAATATTCATATATCAATATTGATTTGCAGATAAAAATGTCAGCTGAATATAGTCGAAACGTTTTAAAAATAGTTGTTGCGCAGATCTGTCAGACGATAGGATGGCATTCTATTAATTCTACACCATTGGAGTTTCTAGTAGATCTTTTGCAGGAATATTTGTTACGTATCTCAAAGCTCACACATCAATATGCAGAAGTTTGTGAGTAACTGTTATATTAATTTTGATCAATAACAGTTAAATATTCCCCTCTTATTTAATTGTAATAAAGGAATACCCAATTGTGATTAGTCAATTCTATGGAGACTATTATATGTATTATCAGAATTTGTCCTTTTTCTATATATTTTGTATGGAATAAGAGTTTAGATTTGAATTTATTTTGGATACTATTATCTAAAATCTATGTTTTTAAAATTTCTTGTAAATATCGACAACTAAATGAGTTATCTAATTATTATAAAAGTAAATTACTTGTTGAGTAATTTAAGTATCTTTGCAAATCTTAAATTTATATTTTTTTATGATTTTTTTAGTGGGAAGAACAGAGCCGAATCTTGATGATTTAGGATTAACATTTCAATATATGAATATTGATATACAGGAATTAGCTGAATATGTGAAAAATGTAGATTCTGTTCAATGTCCTATACAAGTACCACAATATCCAATTCGACGTGAAAATCATTTAAATTTTTTAAAGCCGGGTAGTCGTGAAGTTGTCACGAGACCAGTGCACATACATGAACATTTACCAGCTATGTATCCAGATACCGAAGGTAATAAATTATATTGTGTTTATTCAGTAATTTTATTCAGTAATAAATTATACTAATTTATATTAATTTTATTGGTAATTTATAATAATTGCAGAGGAATACATACCTGATAAAAATGAAAGTTTAATGAATGGTACAGCAGATCTGACATCTAGCAGTGGAACATCATCAAGCAATTCAAATAATACGTCACCTCATAGGATGTCACCACAGGTGGTTTTCAAACGGCCAGGCGATCCAGTGTCTTTTGAAAGTCCCATGGTAAAGCGTGCGAAAGTTTTAGAGGAAGGTAGACCATTACGTGAGATAAGCAGTGTTATGATGACTACTTCTGGTTTTTTATCACCCGCGCGAGAAGGAAAGCTACCCGAAGCGAGAACACCGCATCAAGTTCGATCAGATTCACCGCAACCAAGCTCTTATCCGATGGTACCGCCCGAATTGAAGATTGATAAGAAACCGAAGAAAGTTGTGAAAAAAGCTCCCGAGAATCGTAAACTTGACAAAGAGAACAAGAAGAAGAAAGGCGCGAAGGAACTGTTCAAGCCAGATAAGATTGACGAGAGCAAAGTGAAGAAATTAGTTGGCATGAAAGAGCTGGCCAAATTAAAGCCGTTAAAGCCAGGCGGTGGTAAGGGACAATCTACCACGTTACAAGAACTTACGGGTAGTAGCAGACCACCTACGCCAAAGATCGCGTCACCGAAATCAGCCACCAATAGTCCGAAGGCGTCGAAGACAATGCAACCGAAGGTCAAGACCGAAAAGATAGTAGAGCTAATAGACGTCTCTCCCGCTGTCGAAAAGAAGGAGGAAACTGTTGACAAGTTGCCGTCGGAGCCGGATAAACAGAAACTAAATATCTTCAAGAAGATATCGAAACCACGTGAAGAAAAAGACAAAGAAATAACGGAGCCGCACAAGTACAAGGATATTTTGGATTCGCGTGAGAATTCGCCAGAGTTAATCATAGATGTTGAGAATGCGGAGAAGCAC